TTATTATTATTATTATTATTATTATTATTATTATTATTATTATTATTATTATTATTATTATTATTATTATTATTATTATTATTATTATTAATTATTAATTATTAATTATTATTAATTATTATATTATTCAGTTATACTAATTATTTTTACCAATTACTATCACCATTATTGTTTATAACTCCTAGCTAATTTCATATAAATTAATTTACTCCGAGCTATATTTCTGTTTTGTTTTTCTCATTCCTTTTAATCATGAAATCAGATCAGAAACTTACGCTTTTGAAGTGATTCGGTATTAGGTAAGTGATTATTACTGGGAAATATTAGGAAGAGCGAAATTAAGGAGAGGGCACTGTATTTCTAATAATGATTCATACATGTTTTTATATGGAAAAAAAAATTTTTCTGCAGACATTTTGCGATGATTATAGTAGTAATACGTAAGATCCAGTTTTAGCTTCAATCACAAACCACATCATAACTATGATGAAAATGAAGATCATAATGATGTTCATAGTGATATCACGATTAGCACTAAACTTGAGCTGTACAACAGATTTAGGTCAGGAAAATCTGTACCTTTTGACAATTTGATTTAGGGATTCTGAATGAATCGAAATCCTGTTATCTTTTTGCGCATCACTGAATTTTCGATTTGTTTTTTTCTTTTTTCTGTGTTATTGTAATCGGGAATGTAACACAGTTGTTGCAGGCATCATTTGTAGCATGGCAACCGCAGTCCGAGGATGTGTATTTTGTGGTATTATACACGGTCAACGTGACAAACATTTGAAAGCATCGGAGAATGTTAGTAATAATTTATTAGGATTTCCCTGTTAAAATCCAACTCCTGAAATAAAAGATGTGTGGATTGTAACAGTTCTTAAACTACTTAATACAGATACAGGTTATTTCAATAAAATAGTAAAACAATTAGCTATATACCGGATAGATAGCTCTATATAAATTTTTCAAATAAGACATTTAGCGTTGTTTTGTATAAACTTTTCATAAGAGACATTTAGCGCTTTTTCTATAAACTTTTCATATATGCATTTAGCATTATTTCCTAAGGACGAGATAGTGACTGTATTTAAATTTCTTGTACAGCTTTTCTAATACTGTTCAAAGATAGTTTCACTCATCGGTTATAATATCAGCAAACTTTTTGTGATTTAGTTTTAAATTTCATAAAATTACGTTCTATTTCAAATTATATTTGGTGTACTACAAAGTTGTGCTGAAAAAATAAATCCAACAAGTACTTTCGCAATATTTGTTTATCTCTCTAAATCCAGTGTCATTTACTTCCGGATATGACATTTAAGGCTGTGTTAATTCAAGACAGATCACCGCATGCACCCCATCATTATCTAATACTCAGCAGACTGCATATTAATCGAGCAAGTGATTTGACAGTTGTTGATCTTCCTCTCGGTGAGCTTTTTCTGTACTTGAAGCTTTTGAATAAGTGCTTTATAAAATAACACTCAGATACGGTGCACGGTGTTATCCTTCACTAATATTTTTATGTGCTTGAAGCAAACATTTCTTGTGTGATTGATTCTTCAGTTGATAAAGTGACGAAATCCTCGTGTACAAATGTTGCACTGATGTTACATGAAATTCCACTCCAATTTAATAAAGATTTATTTTTCAACATTTTGATATCGCACATAGTTCCAGTTGGAACTGTATACCGTTTTCAAATTTAGCAACTATAATATGACTGGAAAACGATAGTATGTTAATGAAATATAACCTCTTCTTAGTGTGTTTCAGTAAAAGAAATGGATCGCCTTGGACGAGATTATTTGCGCGAAACGTTAAAGGGAAAAGGTGAAGCTGATACTGTGGAAGATTTGCTACGAATGGGCTTCCATTGGTCAGTATTTGTTACTGTACGCCATCTTCATATGCATCTACTATACCCGACGCGAGAGGTATGTTAAAATTTGATTGCATATAAATAAAAAAGATGATATATAAGCATGCAAAGTATTTTCACTACGCATATCTTCATATAATGCCAATCATTTCATCTTAAATTGTTTCGGAACGCTAAAATTTCATTATTTATAGATGAATTTTTTGTATCGGGCAGTAGTATTTCGATCGGGACGATTTTTCCGCACAACAAAAAGTGTTATCGACAATTTGGAAAAGAAAAGAAATGCTTGTGGCCAAAGGGATCCAACCAAAGAGGTGAAAAGTGGTCCTTCTGCAAGCGGTCAAAATGATTCATCAGTAAAAAACATAACAGATACAACGTAATTTTTATCTCCCAGTCTGATGTAATCCTAAGCAAAAATTTGCAGATTAGTAATATTACTTTCAAATGATGATTCGAAGTAATAGAACTTTTTTGGCGGTAAATTAACTGCTCATCCAGATCATTTTTCTTCTATCCACTTTCCTTTTTTTTGCATTTTTCTGCCTAAATCATCCCATTTTATACCATTTATATCGTTAATATTTATCTCGACATCACTTAATTTTCTGGATTCTGGATTATGTAAACTCTGTAAAATATTTACAGTTCGGTATTGGATATGGTGCCGGTAATGAATAGTGCATAGATAGGGGATATTGTATCTACTTTAGTATTCCTCATCTATTAATTTTCTTCCACATGTTATTTTATGGTGGAGTAATGTACCGGTATTATGATGTTGTAAAGCAGATAGATCGAATTATTTGTTTTAGATCGAATTTATTTTTCTCTCTGAATGACTGCCAGTTACCGAATTGTAATATACTATACATAAAATGTAAACTTTGTATATATCTTCCTCTTGCTTGAATATAATTCGGTGTAAATGTTAATTGCATTATAAGTGCTAATTTTTGCATATGTTATATTCTTAATCATAAGTTGCCAAATTCTAAATTTGAGAATGCCTTCTCTTTGCATTTTTTTCTTGGTATTTAAGTTCCATTCTTTGCATTTCATCATTTCCTTTGTTGTGATTCACTTGTTGCAGTAGAAGAGAAAAATTGATTTTCAAATCTTCAGCGGAAAAATGTAATGCACATATGAAACGTCCAGTTCATAGTAATTTTGTCGTACATATCATATATGTATTCAGTTTGTTAAAATTTTAAATCTCATCCATCGGTTTTTCGATAGTTCTTTGATTTGGTCAATAAAAATTAGTGTGAATTTGATCAAATTAATTTTTTCTCTTCCTATATGTTATCAGAATTTTCATAGTTTTTACAATTTTGGACCTAAAATGATTCCTACGGTTTTTCTTACTTTTTTCTAAAATGGAATCTAACAGATTCATGGTAAAATACAAAGCTATTATGAAGATTCTGCTCATTCAGGAGTAATCGTTGCCTTGAAATTTAAGGTCTCCCGTCTATGAAATTAATTTCCAAAAAAGAATTTCTCACCATTGTGATTCATCTTAATCTGTGTTATCACAAATAATCGAATATTGAGCACTTTTATAAATTTCTCACTAAATTAATTGTATGGTAATAAAAGAAATTAATGTTCTTCAAAATTATTAATGCATTTACAAAAGGATCTGTTCTGTCTCTTATTGCATATTTTAAACTGCATTGAATAAACAATTTTATTCATTTTATGCATATTTTTTACGAAACAAAATATTCATATCATTTAGTTTATCTCTTCCAAACTACCAAAAGCTGCTTGAGAATCGATCTCCTGCAATATAAATTGTAAATTTTACGATAATTTATGGTTAATTTCATGAAATTTATATCCGTATTGCTCATCATCTATATCCGCATCACTCAATCATCGTCTCATCATCTGACTTTTGAATCAAGCCAATATTTATGCTAACTTAAGCAAAGTGCCAATTAATATGTAGGTGATGTTTAAATATTTCTGGAATGATGGCATCTGAGTCTAACCATAAATGTTGACAATTTTTTGTCTTGCTTAGCAGCTGTGTTCCCGTCAGTATCTTCCATTGTTAACAATCGACTTAAACGTTTTGTTGGATTCATTCTGGAAAATTTTTCTTTTCCTGTTCAATTGCTGAATATCTAATCCGTGTTAGGAAACGTTTATGTCCTCATTTTCTATATTAGTTTAATTACTTTGATATCATTTAATTCTAGTCTGAATTCTTTTTCCGTTTGACTAATTAAAATAAAAAAACTAGAAAAATACCCTCCAACAGCCCATCCAGAACAAAATCTGTCCAAAATTTGACTTCGTGTTCGTTCCGTCAATTTCATGAAATTTTCATGATTGATCATTGGAAGTGCGAAATGTCGGCAACTGAATCAAAAATATTGTACTAAATAGGAAAGTAAGATTTTTGAAGTTTATTCTAACATGAGAATTTATGCAACTTTTTTAGCTTAAACATATAGGTGAGTAATCTTATTTGGGTGGTTTTATTGCTGCCAATATTGTTTTTTTTTTAAATTTCAAACTTTGCCAAAAATTTTCTATTTTATTAAACTATTAGTATTATCATAGTACTATCAACATGATAACATTTAACTCGATCAAACATGATAACATTTAACTCGATCAAACATGATAATATTTAACTCGATCAAACATGATAATATTTAACTCGATCAAACATGATAATATTTAACTCGATCAACTATTAAATGGCGGAAATCACCTAACATATCCGAGTCATTTTTTACAATAAAATCCTTTCTTTTCTGATTACATGATAGTAGATGGAAAAAGTCATTAGTTATCAGCAAAAGAGATTCATTCTTCAATAACTCAAACATTAGCGTAGTATTCTATTCAAAAATTATACCTATTTTCTATTCGATGTAAATTTCGGCGTAGAAGATTTTCTAAATTATATTTTTCGGCTAATTCAAAATATTCAATGAATCGTTCCGGTGAAATTGGCGGTTCTTGAATTAAATAACTAAAAAAAAAGAAAAAAAGACAAACATGGATTTGTTTACATTGAATGCCAGCTACGATAATATTAATGAAAATGTTTCATATTATTTATTTTCTTATTTGTCGTATTAAATAAGATTTTAATAAATCTTTTACTTTATTAAATTATGGAAATTTCGCAATCCTTCGTTTTATCACTATATGCACAACTTTTTTTTTTATTTAACATTCATTTATTCATCACTTTTTTACCCCTATTTCCTGCTTATCATATCAACTTTTCACTTGTTTCGCTATATGTACTATGAATATTGTCGCGAATTTTGA